TTTCGTTTCTTTGGTATTTGTCAAAATTAGACCTTTGATTGACGTTTTCTCAAAAACGCCTGAACCGATTTCAAAAATTTAAAAGTCATTTGATGTATCTCAATGAGGACTATCGTTTTGTGAGACGATCTGCCCAGCCGTTTCTTTGTAATTTGAAAAAAAACGTTTAACTTTTCGTCCACATTTAACCTCAAACTACCGAACCGATTTTAAAAAATCGGAAACTGTTCGAAATATATTAGTTGGGAATCATACTGATTAGTTTTAGGTGAAAATCTACCGAGCCGTTTTCTTGTAATTAACTGTTGAAAAGAAATGGAGCCGATTTTTATGGAACTTTTGTTTGCAATATATATCATGGTCTTATAGAACTTACTGAAATATTGCGGCCTTACGACAAGTAATTTAATTTTAAAATTCCATCAAAGTTTGAGAAAATGAGTGGTTTTCTTGACGTTTGTTCAAATTAAAATGAGACTATTTATATGGTATAACGATAGAGTACTTGGTTTTAATACACATACTAAAGCATTAAAGTTCTACGGAAACTGGTTCAATTATAAAAATTGTTGATTTTTGAAAATTTGCTCTTAGAAAATATTCCGAGTTAACGAGTTTGTTCGTTTTCAATTATGTGTTATAATTCCACTCGGAATACTTTTAATCATTCAAATTATTTTTTTACATTGATTAAACCAATTATTTACACATATCGGGAAGTTCATGTAACTTGTCTCAAGGCAAAATACCAATACTAACTAGTTTAATTAAATTTTTCTTTGCTAATGCATGTCATAATGTGTTTATCTGAATTCAATAACATATTAGTTATCTCCATCTAATATATTGTTAAGATTTTTAAAATAGAAAAATTGACAATCCTTAATGGCTGAGAAAGTCTGAAGAGTCTAATAATTCTCCGATATCTTCGTATGAGTTGCTAGTAGCAAATTATAAAAAAGCTATGTATTTGCTGTGTGAGTACCTAGTGTTGAATATTTACATATGAGGTTGATATGCATCTTTACTTAGGTAACAAATAACTAATCATAACCATAATCTGTAATATGTATAACGAGCACACAATCCTGATAATTATTTTGTATTACCTTGACTATCTTTATAAAATTTGCAATTTAAATTAATATATGTCTCTCAAATCTGTGTCGGCAATTATATCAGGCATTCGAGCTATTCGACACACTTCGATCCTTTATCAAGTAATATACCATGATTATCAGCAACCTACGATCACCTGCAAACACCTGTTTACTGGAGACGTCGGTGTTTGCTTAATGGCGATTTAAGTATACTTTAATTGACTACTTTGTAATTAACAATAAATTACCTCAAGTCACGGGAGTCGATACGCCAGATGAATATTAAATATATACATATAGTAGTTTCTTCTTTGTTGGTTTTGTATTGAAGATTTTTGCAAAGTTTATGGATGTGACAAATTACACCAATTACAATAATAGTGGTATTACTATGAGCTAAAGAAATTGAAGATGTAGATAGATAATTTTAACTATCCCCAGTACTCAGCGAGTCCTGAATTGTAACTTCTTAGACAACGTGGCTTTTTATATATAGCAGCCCAAACGATTGTCCTATCTCTATGTGATTAATTTATTATTGAAATTAATGCAGCAATTCGATGTCACTACTGCTTGGTATACGGCTATCTGAGGCGGGTAATAAAACTCAGATTAAAAGCCCACAGCTTAAACCACTTTTTAATGGGAAAGCCGTTTGAACATATAAGAACAACGTAAATTTCAAAATTTATTATAAAAATTGTAACGAACTGTAAAATTAGTATTTATGATTGAGATTTATGATTATGAGTTAAAAAATTGGTCTGTCTCAAGTATATAAGAAAGCTTTAGTATTTTTGAAACTTGAAACTTTGTATATTTTTTAATATTATCCCTTTCCATTCGTAAATTAGAAAATTAATTTGTATTTTGACGCCGGTGCGGCGGCATCCGAGTGGAAAGGGTTATAATCCGAATGATTTTTGATATTTAAAAAAAAATAATAATAGTGATTTTTTTTGAAAAATTTGCAAACGCTGGACCTACCTTCGGCAAAAACTAATCATTCCTTCAAAACGTCAAACATAAGCAAAATGTTTTCTAAATCATTCAAATCGGATGCTCTATTCTCTCAAAACCTGCTATTTTTGCACTTTTTGCTTTATATCTCCGAAACAACTGACCCTGTTTTTTTTAAAAAACTAATCTGCATGTCTCTCCTTTAATACAAATCGAATCGAGAGCTTTAAAAAAAAATTTTTTTTTGTTTCTCAAAATTAATATATAATTATATTGTCAATATGCAATTTATTCATATTTTGTACAAAACAGATTGTAATTGAATTTTAAGAAACAAAAAAAATTTTTTTGAAAGCTCTCGACAGCAATAAAATATTGTCATTCATAATTACTAAATATTTAAGACTAAATTAGAGTTTACCCATTGATATCCCTTTTTTGTGTTGAAACTCTCAAATTCGTGGACAAAAATTGTATCCAAACATACACACACGTACATCTTTTTTCACACACTATTTTTTGTAAGGTAGTTAAGTATTTCTAAGTTGTTTGAACATATCAAATGTTCGAACGTTTGTTGAGAATTATTTATTATTTTCTAGATCAAAGTTTTTATTAAATCTAACAATTATAATTGGTAAAGTTTTGCAAACCTAATAACTCTGGATTTACAGAAAACATCTTGATAAACATGTTTGTTGTAGAATTTGCATCATAGTTTTCAAAAATTGTTAAAAACTATTAAAAAAGCTCAAAGTTCTGATTAAATCTCACAAAATATAATTATCAAGCTTCACAACTCTGAAAAACCGCAGAAAACACTTTGGTACTCATAGTAAATATGTTTGTAGTAAAAGTTGCATCAGAGTTTTTTGAAGCAGTGTAGAATAGAACTATTTTTTAATTTGCAGCTCAAAGTTTTGATTAAACCTCACAATTATATTTAATAAATTTTGCCAAACTTAATGGCTTTTACTCTTACAATTGTTTGGAACTTTAACTAATTTTTATAATTAAACTATTTCTCATAGGCTTGTAATATTTCATGGGGTTCAGTTTGACTATCAAATCATGAATCAATAGACTTAATAAATGAATGAGCAAATGATGCCCATAAAAATTTGTGTAAAGAAGTATCACTAACAATGTATTTTTTTCATATACTATCATTCACAAAAAGCAAGAAAAAATTCTTTCACAAAGGCTTCAGGAAATAATTTACCATATTATTCTCGTACAAAGGTTTTTGATCCGCGGATTAATAATAATGCAAACCGCACTGTCATCTTTAAATCAATTCAAGCGTCTCTAGGTCAAGAACAAAAAAACATTTACTCTCTTGTAATGCGTTCAAATGGAGGTGGAACTCCTTTGTTGAATATCTAATTGAAGAGAAATTTAAAGTACAGAAAAAACTAGGAATTCCATACACGTTTCTGATTGTCACGTCCTATATGATACAAACAACAATAGTCCAATAAAAACGATTAGAAGATATGTGGGTTATTTCAATTTTTGTAACTTCTATTCAAATGGAATATTCAACACATTACCTATGATTTCACGTATCTGAACAAACTGTCGATAGTAATAATTGAATACGAAATATGTATAAATAATAAAATGAAGGCCCTTACTTAATACATTCAAAATTATTAGCATATTTTTCTCCCAGAGAAAAATTTCCCAGAGCGATATATATATATATATAATATATATATATATATATATATATATATATATATATATATAAATAATATATAGATAGTAAGTATATATATAAAATAAGACTCCTTTAAGACGATTTTCCAAATAACTCGACCAAAAAAGCATCTTTTGCAAGAAAGCGTGATAACAAAAGAATTTTTGAAGTGCAGGGATCGCTGTAAATAGGCGTATAATGCGAGAAATTGTATTGGGCGTAATCGACTTAACGCGGTTTTTCTCTATATAATAACAACAAAATGGAATAAAGAGATAATGGAATAAAGAAAAATGGAAATAAAGAAGAAAGGAAATAAAGAGAAAAGGAAATAAAGAGAAAAGGAAATAAAGAGGAAAAGAAATAAAGAGGAAAGAAAATAAAGAGGAAAGGAAATAAAGAGGAAATGGAATAAGGAAAAAATTAAATGAAGAAAAAAATTGAATGAAGAAAAAAATTGAATGAAGAAAAAATGGAATAAAGAAAAAATGGAATAAAGTAAAAATGGAATAAAGAAAAAATGGAATAAAGTAAAAAAATGGAATAAAGTGTATATGTATAACAATGATAAATATCATAAATAGTTTTGAATTATTGTAATTATACGCATCATACTCAGTGCCCTTAAAATCATGATTACATATTTTTTTAAACAAAAATGTCTGCCAAATGAAAATAAATAAAATTGTATAACTCTTAAATACTTAATATTTTAAAAAAGTTTGTATATTTTTTATAAAATATAATGTTCAAAAGAACACCCAAGCCAGCACTACATTATTCAATTTTTACTACTTCAACAAATTTGCAATACATTTGCCATAAGTATCTCTCATCCCACACATTTATAAACCAAATTAAATTAATCAAAATTCTGATTTTATTGCCTAGTTTTAAAATTGATCGAATATAAATATTAACGAATATAATAAATAATTGATATATATCGCTTCTGACGTAAGTGAAATTAGAAAATCTTGTTCCGAAGCCTGAACAAAAAGATGATGAATACTTTTTAGTACTAGATATCTTTTCTAATTTATCTTGTACCGTTGTATGAATAATACTATTATTTATAAATTATATTCAATCATTCATTCATTCATTTCATAAATAATACCTTATAATAGTATTAATAGTAAAGATAACTGTTTTTATTTAGATTCGACCTAAATTATAAACTAATGTAACAAAATGAATTAGATGATGTTTTTTTAAATAAGATGATTTTTTTTCAGGTTACTTCCGATAATAGGCCAATATCAAATATCTGACATAGCACGTGTATCAGAAATATTTTACGAAAAATACGGACGCATTGTTCGGCTTGGAGGACTTTTAGGAAGACCAGATCTTCTCTTCGTCTATGATGCAGATGAAATCGAAAAGGTGTGTAAAAATTTTAATTTTGCAGATTAACATAGCAGATTTTACAATTATATTTAAGAATCTAATTTCGATAAAAATTTCGAGCAAAAAGGTGAAAACTGTCTTTAAACGAGCTTTAAAGGTAAAAACTCATTTCGCTTGCGTGTATAACAAACAGTTAAACTAATTATTTTATTACTCACAATTTTTCGTTTTTTTTAAAGATTTTACCATCTTACAATTTTGCCACATTTTGATGATATTTGCCAACACATTTTAGTAAAAAAAATTTAGAGGAGGGCCGCTCAAAGTCTATTTCAAAAATTTTAAGTATATAGTTCAATAAAAGCCTCAATTGAACACTTGGGAAAATAGAAAAATAGTTGACACACAAATTAGTTTATCAAATATGATAAATATAATTAAGATTAATTAAAAAAAAAACAAATTTAAAATATCAAAAATTTTCTTATTAAAAATCAATCATATAAAATGATATAAAAAAATAACGTTTATAGTCTTTTACATATTGGTTATATAAACTATTTACAAACAATGCATTCGACTGCCAGTTAATAATGTCTTTGAATTTTTTGAAAATTTTTCAAATTTTTGAAATTTTTTCTTGATGAAATCAATTTTCTAAAATCAACTAAACTCGGTGAAATTACGATGCAATAGATCAGCGCACGATCCGACAACGCTTCGTAGCTGTTTCACGTCTATATAAAGTAGGCGCATGTTTTCTATGGCGTAGGCGGAAAATGTTCTTGGTTTACTACTTATTAAAGCGATCTCGCCAAAAAATCCATTGGCTCTTATTCGACCAATTTCCAGCTCCAAACCGTCTAGTGTTCTTTTTGTAAGACCAGCGACACCAAATTCAACGATGTACACACCTGAATAGGAAAGGAGGGAAAAGGAAATTAGGATTCAATATTGAGTCAAAGTTATTTTAAGGAAGGAAAGATTAAAATATTAACCCTTTGCGCTCGGCTGGCCACTTTTGGGCAAGTCTAGAATATCATTTGACTATCTTCTCTGAGGCATTCGACAATTTGTATACACAATGACTCAGTTCGTATTGAAACGTTGATAGAATAGATCAACGATGAACTTGAAACCAGCGGTTCATGCGGCCTTTTAAATATTTTTCTGCAACCCGCCAAGCATTTCTATTGTAGAATTTTATCAAAATTTTAGCAATTTTCATAAAAAAACACATATGTAAAAAACGGTATACATATTACACTTTTCTGTACAATGACAAAAAAAACTGCCCCGAGCTAATTCTTTATAAGGAGACTGGAATCAAGCCACTCACTATGCATTTTAAAAATTGCTTTAAACTTACCACAGAAAATAAATTAAGATATGATTGTATTGTAATTCATATCAAATAATTTTATAACATAAACAATAGTATCATGTTTACAGCAGGTATGTTTTCGTCAGAATGTGGCACCGAGTTGCTGGCAGTTCGTTTTTAAACCGGTGCCGAGCGCAAAGGGTTAATGGTTTTGATATGTATGATGATTCATTCAATGTTGTAAATATGAAATTTACATAAATGCAAATTTGAAAATATAAAAGCTTGAGGTTATTGAAATTTTACTGTGTGATAAGCCACTAAAATATGGCTGGGCCAAGAACTAAAGCACCTATTTTAAAGATGTAGTTTTTTGTGTAATTTGTCCATTTGTACAATTTCAATTCATTTTCAAATTTATATTTACGGTTATGTGTGCTTTAATGTGTTTGTACGTATATCTATTACCCACCAGATGCTTCGTGTCCTTCTCGAAACACACAGCTTCCCCTTTTGAACATAAATGGCTCAACTAAATAACTCAAAGATTTATACTGCTCTTGACGAAGGTTTCGAAATAAAGTAACAGATTTTAAAACTCTTATCGTGTTTGTTTCTTTGGGTTTGCCAGTTTCGAGAACAATTCGTCTATAATCAGCCTGTGTCATTATCCACAGACGACTCTCAATTAAAGCTGTTAACAATTCTTCGCTGGGCTCATCATAGAGTAAAGCTGTCTCTTTAAAAGTGTCAAATTTTTGGTATAAATGGATTTTTTTAGTAACATTGGGTTTGTATCGTATTTCTATCAATCCGTCGACCAAGACATAAAATTTGTCAATGGGCTCGTCGAAATCAATCATAACGTCGCCGGAGTTGATCCGGATTTCTATCATAGCTTCTAATGCTTCATCAAGTTGGACGTCATCTAATACCTGGAAAAAATGCGTTTTTCTCAAGGAATTTCTGACTTCCTCTTTATATTTCAAATTCTTCTTAACAATGAGGTCGTCATAGTTTTTCTTAAGATGAAGAGACATAGGCTTTTCAGGGCCGACTTCTATTATTTCCTTGATCCTCATGCTAGGCCTTGTATCAGCATTCAGCCAGGAGAACAATTCGGAGTATACGTCGATCAAACCAACTTCATGACTTAAATTTCTGTTTTTATAAGAAATCTCATAAAGAGAGCATCTAGGACCAACTTGATCTGCAATGTCGTTCACCGCCTGAATTGCTTCAACTGGTAGATTGTTAACTGAATTAATAACTGAACGAAAATTGGAAAAATTTATAATAGTTTCATTTAAAATTAGTTGTTCCAATAGTTGTTCTCCTTGAGTTTCTTCTGCAAGATTTGCACTAGTGATGGAATTGGAGTGCTCAAAAGCCAATTCCCTTCTTGCCTCAAGTCTGCGCTTTTCGGCAGCATATTCTTTTAAAATATCAGATATAAATCGAGAAGTCAAGAAAGAAACTTGTTCGTAGAACATGGAGTACTAAAATAAAATATACACTTATTTAGTGAAAAAACATTTAAAATTATTATCATATGATAAATTATCATATAAAATATCATGTATTATTCTATTAAAATATATTCTGTGAATATTTTATTTCAGGTTTACAGAAACGAAGGACCTACTCCATTCAGACCATCTATGCCTTGTTTAGTGCATTACAAAGGAGTTGTACGAAAAGATTTCTTTGGAGATTTGCCTGGAGTAGTTGGAGTGTAAGTCTATTCTATGATTTAATTAATTTATAGAATGAAAGCATTTTTTTCAGAAACAGCTTTCGTTGTAATGGTCTGTAATCAACTTTTGTATTTCGGGCATGCAAAATATGAAGGTCATTGTATATAATAAAAGAAAGTGCATACATTACACTCAAAATATTATAATTGATTTGGTTATTTAATTTGACGTTAGAAATGTACTGAAAAAGTATCTCTAATCGCTTTCACTGACTTGCCGAACTATTTTTTTTTTTTTTTTTTTAATTTCTATTTAAAATCTTAGTCAATGCGGGTCAATCTCTCAATTAACTTTTTAATTTTTTTAATTTTTTATTGAATTTTTATTTGATCCCAATAACCTATTAAATTCAAAATTTAATTTTATATTTGGCCGATTTATTAAATGATTTTGATCATAGTTTTATTAATTATCATACGACCAAAACTGGTGATTTTAATACACCTGTATACTGCAAACACTGTAACTTTAAGTATCATAAATATGTAAGTATATCTGAAACAAGAGTCCAATTCAAGATAAAATAGAAATATGGCAACACTATGTCACGGGTCTATCTTCGTATAAATTGGTAGTAACAAACTGTCAAAAAGCTATGTATTTGCTGTGCGATCAGGCGTTTCTCACATAAAATCTTTTGGACAGTATGGAATAACCGATTTGAATAATTTGAAAAACATTCGATTCGTATTGATAATGAAACGTGCTGATTAAATTTGGCGAAGACAGGTCTAGCCGTTCCGAAGATACGAGGCAAAAAGTGCCAAAAATGGTAACTCAGTTTTTAAGAGAACGGAGCGTCCAATTTTAATAATTCAAAAAACATTTTACTTGTATTGGGGAGATGAAGAACTGATTAAATTTTTGGGAAGGCAGGTCCAGCGGTTATCGACTCTCAATAAAAATAAGTTAAAAAAATGTCATTTGGCGGTCAAACATGTTTATTGGACATATGTACATCAAATGATTAGATATTTTATAGAGATTTTAATAATGTGTACGTTAAAAAAATTTTTGGGTTCCGTACCAAGATTTTTAATTACGGCACAGGAAGTTCCAGCAATTTGCCTTAAGAAACGATGCCATGCACCCCACTAGTTTTTTAATATTTATTATTATTTTGCAGTCATGGAGAGCAATGGCGTGAATTTCGTTCGCGCGTCCAACGGCCTGTTCTTCGACCAGCAACCGTCCGAAAGTATGTCGCACCTTTGGAACAAGTGACCGAGGATTTTATAGACAGATGTAACGGTTTATTGGATAACAAGTCAGAATTACCAGATGATTTTGATAATGAAATACATAAATGGTCTCTTGAATGTAAGTAGACACCAAAAGGTAACGATGCTAGCTGCAAAGACTTGTATTTTATTGTATTAGGTTGGAAATTAAGTAAGTGCGGTTTTGCAGCTTAGATGGTTTCAAATGAATTTTTAGATTTTCTGAAGTCATTTTGTTTATGGATGATCTTAGACTGTTTAGATGTCCATCAGTTAATCAATCCATAGCGTAGTTTTCGTTTGGCATTCATTGAAAGATGGAAAATCAAATAGAAAATTAGTTTCATATTTTGCTCCAAAAGTAGCCTTAAAACAAATTGCAGTGTCAAAATGATTGGTGGTGATGGTGATTTTAAACCCAAAGATGAAAACCGATCTGGTCGCCCAGTCAAAGTTGTTTATTTAACATTTTTGTCACACTTAGGACATTCAGTAATTGTTTTGACTTTATTATATGGATTTTTGGATGGATAGCAACCCAGAAGTTGTCCAATCCAATTATTACTAATTAACTATACTCGAAGTATTTGCTGATATTTTTATTGTGTATGTGCAACTATACCTACAAGAAGCGATTTTTTATTTGAAGCTATATTTGAGATCTATAACCTTAAGTGGAAATTTGATAGCAAAGTTGCCTGATGTCGGGCTATGGCGGTAAGTCAAAGTTAAAAACAAATTGTCTATTTTGACTGTTATTACCAAATGATCAATTCTAATGTCTACATTAAACAACTAACAAAATAAACAAAGCAGTTGAAAAATGCGGCCTAAATTGCCAAATCAAAACGGTGATTTATTCCATTATTGACATCACATATCTTTGGCCACTCGGCAAAAATTATTGGAGCTTATTTGGAATATTTTGCCACATCCACTTTAGGATTATTTCTATTTCGATCTTTACAAAACTCCTTGTATGGTAAACAATTCAATGATTTTGATTGTGTCAAATTGTACCTGATTTTTGTCAATAAAAACCAGAAGTTTTATGAACGTGAGATGATGATGCTGCTTGAGCAATGACAAAAAGTCATTGATCAGAATGGACAATCATTATAAAATGAAGTCATTTAGTTGATTTTCTAACAAAAATGCGCAAATACTTAGCTGCCAACCTAATACTATGATGAATTTTATATTTCTTTCTCAACTAATTGTAAGCTTAACATAATGAATGTCATCGTCAGAACAAAGGTCTACTAAAGATGTACTAGCAAAAAAGATACTCTGCATCAATTTACAGGTTTTGAAAAAAAATGCTGCATAAACTATAATCTTCTAATTTTATTGTGGGCATTATCTGCAAAATATAAAGTGATATGAGTAAAATCCCAAATAATTATAACTATTTGGACAACTATCTGCGATAATGCACTCTTGCCTCTATCAAACTCAGAGGAATTTTATATAAAAAAATAATAATTTTAAATATTTAAATAATTTAAAATTTAATCATTTATTAGGCATAGGGCGTGTAGCTCTGGATACACGTCTAGGATGTCTTTCGTCTGATCTTAAAACAAATAGCGAACCACAAAGAATTATTGATGGAGCCAAATACGCTTTACGTAATGTTGCTACTCTAGAATTAAAAGCTCCATTCTGGCGATATATCAGGACACCACTGTGGACCAAATATGTACAAAATATGGACTATTTCGTAGAGTAAGTAAAAAATATGACATTTTAATTTCATGAAATATTCCTAGTAGAGACGCCGTTGGACGTATCTCAATCAATATCCCCATATATCTTGTTGGCAGTTTCTGCTTATTATATTTTTATAGACAGATCGCAGAATAAAGTCAAATAAAAAAAATTCGACGAACTATTGAAAAATAAGCAAATGAATGTTTATGCAATGAGTTGTAATTTGTAGAACTACTTGTACTCTAATTTTACTATTTTATTCCAAGGATATGCATGAAATACATAGAGCGATCAGCAATAACACTCCAAGAAAAAAAGAAAACAAGATGCCCTGCATCTGATGAAGAACCATCATTGTTAGAACGTGTTTTAGAAAATGAATCCGATCCTAAAATCGCCTGTATCATGGCATTGGATCTGATACTTGTAGGAATAGACACGGTTTGTAGAAAGTTTCAATTTGATCCATAATTGTTAGCAGTTATAAAATCTATTACTTCACAATATTTGTTATTATTTTTAATAATCCTTAGATTTCGATGGCCGTATGCTCAATCTTGTACCAACTGTCTACGAGACAAGCAGAGCAGCAAAAATTGCACAAAGAATTGGTAAAAGTACTACCAGACCCAAATACACCCCTGACGCCACAATTATTAGATCAGATGCATTATCTTAAAGCGTTTATAAGAGAAGTATTCAGGTGAATTTTAATTTTATGACTTTTTTTGTATTTACTAAGCCTTAGCACGTGAAGCACAAAAATTTTGTCTTGTACCATATTGCACTTACCTGCCATTTGATTTGCCAATTGTACTTGCCAATTAGAACTCCAAGTTGCATTTGGAGAAAATGCGTCAATACTAAACCAGAATTTTTGTTATATTCATTTTAAACATGTTTTTAGCAATATTGCATGATTTTCATCAGTATACATTACCTTAATTTCGATGGTTGCAAAAATTTGTAGATGGTCTAAAATTATTGTAGAATATGTGATTGATCATGTTTAGGTGATCTGAAAATGTTTTAGGTTGTCCCAAAAAAAAATCGTTCAAAAGTATTATAAATTGTCTGAAAATGTTGGGTGTTGTCGAGCAGTTTTGGAAATTTTTCGAAATTGTTGGAGATTATCTGAAAATGTTGTAAATTTTCTGAAAATCTTGTAGATCGCCTAAAAATGTTGTAGATTTTGTAGGAGGTGCTCTGAAAATGTTGTATATTGTCTAAAAAAATTATAAAATGTTCTAGTAACTGATTTAATTTTTTTTTATTATATTGCAGAGTTTACAGTACTGTTATTGGTAATGGCAGGACCTTACAAAATGATGAAGTAATCTGTGGTTATCATATACCCAAAGGCGTAAGTAATAAGGAAGAAATAAAATTAGAATTTGTTATTAAATTTGGGCATAGACTTTATATTGCATGGACTGCAAGTCGAGCGCGTAATAAGTGCTCAAACATAGAAGGTGCTCACATGTCTGAGCGAACATTGCCGACGACAATTGCGGACCTTCCCGTTTGATTAAATGCTATATCTCTAATTACGTGTTAGCTTAGGGGTTCAGGAATATTTTGGAGAGTTTTAGAAGTTTAAAGATAAATCTTAAAGTGGAAAAAATTTAATTACTCTCAACTAAAGCGACTATTATTATTACAAATTAGGGGTTTATGGCAGGAAGGTGAAAATTTAGGGTTGTACATATTTTTCTTTTCAGGTCCAAGTGGTATTTCCAACAGTGGTGACAGGAAATATGGAAGAATACGTAAAAGATGCATCAGTGTTTAAACCAGAACGATGGATGAAATCACAAGGAAAAAATATTGACTCTGAAATTCATCCGTTTGCATCACTCCCTTACGGTTATGGTGCAAGAATGTGCTTAGGAAGGCGATTTGCTGATCTCGAAATGCAGATATTGCTTGCCAAGGTAAAAAAAATAATTTATTAATTGGCATACATTTTTTATAACTTTTACTGGTTTGTAGCTGATCCGTTCTTATAAACTGGAATACCATCATGACCCACTAAAATATGCTGTGACCTTTATGTATGCACCTGATGGACCACTGAAGTTCAAAATGACTCCAAGAGACTAGATATAATATTACACGATATTTAATTAGTATAATTTAGGATAAATTCAAATACATAATTTATATTTAATCTATTCCAAAACATATGATGATACAATGAGATTATTTAAGATTTATTGTAATATGTTAAATAAAATGTAAGACTAGATTTATAATGAGTCGTTTTATTTGGGGAGAATTCTATCAAGCAAACAATTCAGCATTAAACTAGTGGGGTGCATGGCATCGTGCCTTAAGGCAAATTGCTGGAACTTCTCGTACCAAAAAAAATTTTTTTTTAAAGATTAACATTTTTGAAAAAAATTACTCTGAAAAATTCGATTTTTGAGAAACTATAAATTTTTGACACAAATTTACTTATTTTGAAAAGAAGACTTCTTGAAGAAAAAAGTATTTAGAAATATTTTGGAAATTCTGAACTGTTTTTCAAAGCAATCGTACTGCTTTAACTGCATAAAGACGAAATATCGAAGCGCGTAAGCGCCGCGCCGCCATCTAACAGATAAGCATTGGCACGGAACCTATTGGAATGTAAACAAAATTTACAATTATTGTTAAAATCTCTATAAAATATCTGATAATTTGATGAGCATATATCTAATGATCATTTTTGACCGCCAGATGGCATTTTTTTCACTAAATCTCCGAAACCGCTGGACCTGCCTTCATGAAAATTTTAATTTTACCTGTTCTTCATCTTGTTAATACAAGTAAAATGTTTTCTTCAATTATTCAAATCGGACGCTCCGTTCTCTTAAGAACTGAGTAACCGTTTTTGCACTTTTTGCCCCATATCTTTGCAACGGCTAGACCTGCCTTTGCCAAAAACTAATCAGCACGTCTCCTTATCAATACAAATCGAATGTTTCTTGAATTATTCAAATCGCTCCATTCGTGTTCCCGAAATCGTCGACGAAAATTTGTATCCCCACACACATACACACACGCACACACACATACATCAATTTTTTCTAAGGTATGCCAAAATATTCAGAAACTTCTAAAACGTAAAGATATATAAAAAAAATTATTTTCGATTTTTTTGCGATTACTATAACTTACATTACGGGAAGTTAAAAATTGGTTCGAAAAATAATAAAATGTGATAGGTGGATAACCTTAACCACTTAGGGGTATGAAAAATAGATGTTACGTGATTCTCAGTACTTAATAATATAAATATAAAAGTATATAAAATTTCACTAATTTCAAAAATCACATCTGTTAGAGAATTGCCAATACTGGTTTTTATTTTCAAACCAAATAATTATTTTGTATCAATGTTCAGAATAATATTTACTTATTGATTTCTTATTATAGTTCTAAGGACTAACTACCCTCAAAAAATAATATCAATTTCAGTATCATCCCCAATTTGGGTCTATCAACAAAGGCGTGTCCAAATATAATTAAGAAGACGCAGATATAATTGAACACATTTCTATCAATCAGTCCTATACGAACAGTTCGAACAAAAAGTGCACAATTCATTACAATAAGTAACCTTCGTTGAAGAAGTTAAAATTATTTTTTATTAAAAAAAATTTTATTACTTCAGTTATGTATGGAATGTTATTAGAAAGTGTACAACATTTTGTACAGGTAAAATAATAATTTTATTATAAATATTAGACTGAACCATCTCGAATAATCTTGAATAGAAAATCAAAGTACTATTAGAAAAATTATTGAAAGGTATGTGAAAGCACTTTCAATTTCTTTCAAAATGTATTTTTCTAAATTTATTAATCGATATGAACAGATTTTAAACTACTTTTTAAAAGAATAATGAGAAAATTTGCAAAAAGAAAAAAAGATATATATTATTAGTCTAGAATAATGTCACTATTGTATGTACTACGGACGAGTTAAAATAATTGTTTTACACAAAATAGCAGCTGCTTGAAAAAAAAATATTTTTATTACAACTTTTTTTGATATTCTCGAATTTTTTATAAGTAGTAAAAATCGAAATTTTTAGTTGATCGTAGTTCATACTAAAAAGAATTCTATAAAGAAGTCTGTAAAAATTTAGAGTAAACCGGTGCCAGTAGAATTTGAGAAATCGTGGGTATCGTATCAAAAAAGTTTTGAGGAAAACGCGTTTTTAGTTTCGCGGAGGAAGAAAACAGAGAAGGATTATCGTCTGCCTATAATAATTTGAATTCTAAAAAATCCTCTCATACATATATTCTTGAGTAGTTAAACTTTGAAAATCCAAAAAGTAAAAAATCGATTTTTTTTATCGATTCGTCAATAATTTGATTATTTTTATTCAAATAGCTATTATAATATTGGTATTATTTAATCTGGATTCTAAACACGCTAATATATCATTTATATTCAATATACGATGAAATGACTTTAATGTTAATTGTTATCAGATCGAATATGGAGAACATTTATGGCGCAAAGCGTTGCAAATCACAGGTTGCAAACACACAGTATTCAACACACATCAGGTAAAATAGAATTAATAAAAAAAAAATAATAATGAATAAAATTATTGAACAATTATCTCCGATAAAATAGAAATGCTATGGTAGCGCAATGTTACGGTCTTATCCAGGGCCGCATTTAGAAAATTGATGCTCTGGGACACTGACGAAAATGCCACCCCATTTTTTTTGTTTAATTTTTCTAAAATTAAAATTACAACAACTATTGAAAAAATTAAATTTAAAATGACTATTTGATTGCAGAAAATTTATCACGCATTACATACTTGTTCTATGTATAGATTTCTATGCATAACTTTTTTCTTTTTTTTTCAAATTTTGCCGACTGTCCCTATTGTAAATCCAGCACTAACCCTATCCCCGCATGAATTGGTAGTGAAAACTGCCAAAAGGTTAAATTTGCTTTGCAATCAGGCGTTTTACACATAAAACCGAACTTCGCGGAAGTGTTACCAAAGAGGCATCAGATAAAATTGTTCTTTGATATTTGTTCCTTTTTGAGGTTAGGTTTTATGTGTAAGTAGCCTGGTCGCACAGCAAATACCTAGCTTTTTGACAGTTTGTCACTTCCTATTCATACGAATATAGACCCATTACCATAACATTTATATTTTATCAGAGAATTGGCCCCATGGTTAATAAAAATCATAAAATTCATATTCTTTTTAGATATATGCAGATATACTTATAACAGATCTCGCAAAAGCACTAGCTGCATTAACCAAGAAAAATTCGGAAGAATTTATGCTTTTTTTCGGCAGATGTTTTGTGAGATTCTTCAGCAACTTCGGGTAAAGAAAAATCTTATTAAGGGACCGATTCTGCCGCATAACAGACAAATGTTATGGCAAGGCCATGTTACGCTCCAACTTTCATACATTATGCTACTGAATCATACTGAAAACTGTCAAAATGCCATGTATATGCTGTGCATTCAGGCGTTTTGCACATAAACTGCAACGTAACTCGTATGTTATGAACCTCAGTCAGAAAGACCATATGTTATCTAACATCGTTTTTTGACATTTGTGCGGTTTCTAAGCTATGTTTTCTATCTGACAACCATAAAAATCGCTTGACTGCACAGCAACCACCTAGTTTTTGCTAACATTTAGAACAAATTTGTATGGAAAGTTCTTCATAACATAGCCTTGTCATAACATTGGTCTGTTATGCGGCAAAATCGGTCTCTAAGTCTTGCATATATTGCATTATGAACTATGAAGACCCAAGACACAAAACAAATATATTAAAAACCTTACTAATTACGAACAGTTTTTTACTATATAATAGAAATTAATATTTTTGATCATCTATCTACATAAGATAAGATGACCATTTTTTTTTACTTAAATGCGGAACGAAAACTTGGGTAATAGTGATAAGAATATTTTCAAAAATTTGGAACAATTTGGAATCTTTTTGACAAAATCAAAATTTTTTGAGAAAAATTTTGAAAAAAATTTCTTCTTTGAGAAAATTTTTGAATCCGGAATAAATATTGCTTCTCAAAAAATGCAAGGCGCAAGGTGGAAATGCGGAACTGCCCTGGCCATGGTTATCCTATCTTACATAATATCATCATATGAAGATTGATCATCAACTGCTCATATACTAGAAAAATAGCTTTTTACAGTGATAATGTTGTACTTATTAATTGATATAAATAGAGAGCTAAGTTTCTTTTTTAATTGTATTGTCATAAATTTCTGTGACTATTTAGTCTACTCATTTAAGCTTAAATTGGGTAAGAATCTCGGAATTCGAGATACCCAGCTGTAAGTCTGTAAATACCCTAAAATAGCATCCTAAAAGTTGTCTCAAAACCTATATATGGTAGGGTGTACGTACCATATGTAGGTTTTGAGATAACTTTTAAGGTGCTATTTTAGGGTATTTACAGACTTACAGCTGGGTATCTCGAATTCCGAGTTGAAATTACTATAATGACTGGACTAATTAGGATGTTCAGTCTTCATTTCTGATGGATATTTGTAATTTCAGATATGACAAAATGATCAAAAGCACAGGCCGATATTTTTGTGACTTTCTTCAGAACGTCGATAACATTCACTTACAAATGCGATTTACCTATCCAAAAATGAAAAGTCCCTCGATGCAACTGGCCAGTGTCGACGACAAAGGCGCGGTGCTTATTTACAGAAGTACGAGGGCTGGATTTTCATCCTACTTTACGGGTAAATCTGAATAATATTCCTACTTCAAAAAAAATAATAATAGAAAATGCAAGTTATAATTCATCTTTATCCACGTCCAGGACAATTATTGGAAATTGCCGAGCAGTTGTATGGGTTCAATTTGAACATAACGCAGCTAAACACGTGTACTGAAACTACTGGACAACATTTTGCAGGAACAAGAGTTGTTGCCAAATTTCGTCTTGATTTTGATAATACAGAATATGTAAGCAAATATATAATATATATTTAACAGTCTCATATTTTAAATCTCAATTGTTATTTATAGATGCAGAGTCTAAATAAAGTCACTGTGGTATCTCAAACGAGATTAAGCGATGTTTCGTACGAAATACTTCTGCAGTTATTTCCATTTGGCCTCATTTTAAATAAAGATGTGAAAATAATAAAAGCTGGTCAGAAGGTATATCTATCACATCACAAATGGAGTATGTTTAGTGTAAAACGTAAAAAGTTTTGTCTAAAACTAACAATAGTGCTTGGTAGTCCTTATAACAAAAGACCAATTCTAGCGAAACAAGGATTATTATGATTAAGACAAAAATGTCGTAATTTTTATTTTTATTTATGTACAGATTATTACGTCTTCAATGCGGAATTTGATTGGCGAAAATCTTACAGACCACTTCAAATTACGTAGGCCAAAAGGCTTGCAATTGACCTGGACTAATGTACGTGAAATGACAACTGGCTTTGGCAGTTACTAAAGATGTATTGTTTATTATCTATTTTCAAAATTTTCAGATAATGTTAATGCATTCAGTATTATTCGAACTAGAATTACTGAAAACGGCCACTGAACACATAAAAGTAGAAGAAGCCACTTCAGAAGTAATAAGAGTCATGAATAGAAGAGGCAGTCAAGGATATAGAAGTCTGTTGCTTAAAGGACAAATGAGATATATTAAAGATATAGATTCTATAATATTTTTATGTAGCCCCTTGTAAGTATACATGATAGATAACAGAAACCAATAGATACTTGTGCAATACATTAAAAAAATGCTTTAAAACAAATTTTCCAAAACAAAATCAGGAATAGTATAATCAATTTTCTGACCGTTTTTCTATGAATTGTCTGTCTTGGTTAAAATTTTCTTTTGCAATCTAAGTAAACAATTAAAGACTTTAGCCATTCCCAAATGAATTGATCATAAGTCTTTCTATTTTATTTTAGAATAAATAATCTTGATGAGCTGTGCGGAATGGGTTTATATCTAAACGACCTAAACTTCCACGGTTTGAGTAGAGAGATGGTACTGGCGGGATGGCAACATTGTTCCAAGTAAAAAAAATGGAATAAAAGTATAAAAAGTAACAAAAATCATATACCTATATAGTTTACCCATTGTTTAACTGCATTTATATAATTAATTTTTCTGAAGAAAATAATATTGAATTATTTTCTTCTAATCAGATTAGAGCTCATGTGCGAAAGAGCCGAACAACGTTCCTTAGAACTGGAGGAAACTTATGAACTTGCTGAAAAATGGAAGAGAAAAGGTGATGAATTAGTCTATTCTATGATACCGAGATCAGTTGCTGACGGTTTAAGAGCTGGACAAAACCCATTAAATACATGCAAGGTATTTAAAATAAATTTACATATTTTAGTACAAACATAGACCAACTATGGCCTCATGGTAAGAACATGGATTGGCAATCACCAGTTCCTGATTTGATCACAACTAGCAAAAAGCAACTAGTGGGTTGCCTTCTCAAACCACTAAAGACTAGAAAATAATAATTACTATAAATCACAGATAGATATTAAATAAAAAAGTAGTAGAAACATGAAATTTATATAAATGGCGAAACTATGTAATTACTTTAAATTCCTATATATAATTGTATGGAAACTTAGGAGATGAAAAACCAAAAGCTGCAAACTTGAATCTAGTACTATTTTTTTGTTTTGGCAATAATAATATAAAGCTCACTGACCTTATCCCCAGGGTTTCATTATTTATTGATACTACATTCCAATAAATACTATCTTCATTAAACAATTAGCTGTGATTAGTTAAAAAGTGGCAAAATTTGGTCTATTGACAAGTATAATCGTCAGGAGTATAAATCAATAACCTATATTGACTATTTAAATTGCATTATTTTTTTTTAAGAAACATATTTTCAAGTTTCAAGATGTTTTCAAAAAAGTCAACAGTTCGGGATAAGTTCTTATGTCTCAAGTATGCAGTGGTTGAAAACCTTTACTGTTCGCATAAGAGTTTATGTTCTATGATAACGTTTTTTGGATATTAATAAAAAAAAGATGAAGCTACAAGAAGTAGATGTGCAAAGTCACATTGTGTATAATGCTATTTTTTGCTAAGGGGGCATCCATTAATCACGTGAGGTTTTTAGGGAAAGGAGGGGGAAGAAGGAGGGATAAAAAAATTACAATATATTAATTGGGGGAGGAAGGGGTATAGTAAAGTATCACGTATATTTATTTTTTACCTGACTTTTTTTTTTTAAGTCTGAACATTTACAAAAAACTTTACATTTTTTTCTCGTAACTAAAAATACACGTGATATTTGGTTAGGAGGGGGGTAATTTTGAATATCACCACAAATCACAAAGGGGGAACGAGAGTCCAAAAATCTTTAAAAAGTTGATCACGCGAATAATGGTGTATAATACTATTTGTCGCTAAAGGGGCGTCCATCACGTGAAGTTTTTAGGGGGAGAGGGGAGGGTTGATAAAAAATAACGATATATCACGTGGGGGAGGAAGGGGTATAGTAAGATATCACGTGTATTTATTTATTACCTGAATTTTTTCTAAAAAATCCAAACATTTACAAAAAAAATCAAAAACTTTACATTTTTTTCTCGTAACTAAAAATACGCGTGTTGTTTGGTCCGGGGGTGGGGAGTAATTTTGAAAATCACCACAAATCACCAAGCGGGGGGTTGTCCAAAAATCTTTAAAAAGTCGATCACGTGATTAATGGATGCCCCCTAAATAGGCACTCCACACCAAGTATTTGAATTGTCACTTTTTTATGTATAATAATTATTCGTTATTGCGTTTTTCAATTAATTTATTGCGTTTTTAGTTTAATATGTATGTACCAAACGCTTTTATGTTAACCAAGGAAGTAAGATTCGGAAAAAATATCAATTTTATAATAAAAACCCATCTTTCTCATCCAATATCTCACCAAGGCAAATAAATCTATGATTAATGAATATTCTCGTCATGACCTGATTCTGAAGATATTAGAATTAATATGGCAACAGGGGCGTAACTACCGCCGTATCAGCCGTATCAAAGATACGGGGCCCCCGGGCCCAGGGGGCCCCCAACGAGCGTTAACAGATATTGAGAAAAACTTTTTATTTATTTCACAAACGACAAAGTCAAAAAATCTATTTATTTTTATTGTCGGGACAACCTACATCGATTATCGGCATGTTTTGCCTACGGGGTTTCCCCGTTTAACCCTCAATAATCAATGAAAAACCCTCAATAAACAATGTACAGTTATGCGTACCCAAAATACAATGATATGTTGACAAGCGACGAACGAACAGCAGGGATTTCTTTTAATAAGTAATATTTTTTACAACTGACCCAAAATGGACAAGAAGTACAACATTTGGTACAGAAATAAAGGCGTTAGAAAAAATACAATCATATGATAATTGCCAGAGTTAGTCGAAGGTTTTATATATTGAAAGACAGCGGGGTTATTCACATATTTCAGTTGATTGTGAATTATTTTGTAACCGTTCTTTTTCCGTTTATCATTATTTATATACTAATAATAAAGCAGGCATAAAGATTTCAAAACCATGGTTATGTTATTCTAATATTTTAAACAAACCATACTGTCACTTTTGTTGGTTATTAGCGGATCGTCGTAGTAAATCATACTCCTCTGCATGGGTTAACGGTGCTTCTATTAGAAGCAATTTTACACAAACTTTACTTGAACATGAAAAGTCACAGCAGCATATTAATGCGCCCCTTTCTCATAATAATTGGTTGCAAGGAAATACTATCGATACGCAATTGTCAAGTGAAATTAATTGCAAAATTACATTTTGGAAAGATGTATTGCATCGTATAATTAATGTTATAATAACATTAGCATCTTGCAATTTGCCTTTAAGAGGCCATGACTCCGATTCTGGAAGTTTTATGTCAATTTTGCGTTTGCTATCGAATTATGATGCTGTTTTGAAAGAACTTCTTTTAAAACCAAAGGGAGCAATAAATTATTTAAGCCCTTTGATCCAAAATGAAATTATAAGTTTGTTAGGAACCGCAGTTAGGAACAATATTATTTCAGAATTAAAAAGGCCCCATTTCTATAATAATTTTAGATACAACGCAAGATTTGTCAAAGATTGACCAACTTTCTCTGGTTTTCCGATACATCTCGATAGCAGAGGATGGTAATAATGTGCCTAAAGAATTAAAAATCTGTGAATCATTTTTGGGATTTGTAGCAGTATCTGACAGCAGCCGAAGGACTCAAAATTGAAATTTTGAATATATTTAATCAATATGGAATCGATTTAACTAAATGTAGATTAATAGTATATTGCATCCAGTTTTCCGGATGTAATAACAGCTTGCATTTTATTCTTGACCCTTCCAGTTACAACCGCAACTGTGAAAGGAGTTTTTCAAAATTAAAATTAATCAAAAATTACCTCAGAACATCAATAAAACAGAAACGTCTATCAGACCTGTCTCTATTGTCCATAGAGGCAGAAACATTAGAAAAACTAAAAACATCATCAGCTATAAATTACTTAATAAATCAGTTTGCGGATAAAAAGGCAAGGAGAGTGAATATTTAATTTTAGTTACTTGTAAAATATTAAGAATAATATTCGATGTATATTTGAAAATTTGATAAATAAATGTTCTTTTAATTTTATTAAATGAATTTATTAATCTTTTTATGTTTCTTTAAATTATGAAAAATCTTTAGGGGGGCCCCCAAACCAATTTCGATATGGGGCCCCACCAAGGCACGTTACGCCCCTGTATGGCAATTATTAATATTCTAATGTTTGTTAATAAGAATAATTTTATATTTTTAGAGTTTCGGAGCAGTAACTATACTATTTTGCTCCTTGGAGGAACTAAATTCTCACACTGTGCTGGATGCAATGAGTTTAGTGGCAACTATGAACACAGTATTTTCAGTATTTGACAAATTGCTTGATTTGCATCACGTTTATAAAGTTGAAACAATTGGACAGGTAATTGAAAAATATATTGAAATTATATTGATTGACTCTTGACCATCAATGAATAAATAGTTTGCTTAAAGTCGATACTTTAAAACTTACAAGTTACAATTCTTTTTTTTTACAAAATCTGTTCCTGATCTTGATAAATTGGCATTTCATATAAACAGTCTTTGTGTTCTATTGTAAATCGCAAAGAAAAATATTATATTTTAGTTACCTGTAAATAATCCTCTGTTTTGAAAAAAAAATATTAAAAAAACTAGTTTTTGACAATACTACACAAAACTCACAATAGACAAATTTATAACTGATTGCTTTAATCGTGAAACAAAAGACGATTTCTGAAAAATTTCCATAGAATAAACAAAAATCGTAGGGATCAGTGGTAGGAAAACAGTATTTACATAGATCATTTTTGATAATTATAAAATCAATAATTACACATAATCATTGTCATAAATATGGCGAAGATACGTTTCATATTAAAAATTTCAAAATATCGTTATTTCGGTTACGTAATGAAAATAGGAACATAATTTAACTCTTTGGGGACGGCTGTCCACCTGAGTGGACAAACATACTCTATCCAGACACAGGCTATTTTATAAACAATGACTCAGGTTGCGTCGAAACGTTGAATAAATTACATATAGCAGTGATAAACAGTGTTGTATTTTGAAAATAATTTTAAGTTATTTTAGTAAAATTTTTATCCTTTTTCTTTGCTATATAGTCTTTTTTTAAATATCAAAAATGGCCTAGCGCTTTTAAATATGACAAAACAACTGGTGAATTTTGTGAATTAAGCAGTAGTGAAGATGAGTTTCAAATAGACATTCATACAGACAAATTTTACGAAATTACTATTCGCACCGAAGATAGTGATGAATGTGATGATGATATTATCCAACCAACAAAAAGTAGAAGAAGTTCGACAAATTAAATGAAGAGCGGAAAGACATTAGCGAATGTGCCGATTCCCCTTCACCCCGACTACAAATACCAAGCAATATAAGACATCCAATAGATAATTTTACTTTACACTTTACAAATGAATTATTAGACAATATAATAGAAAAAAAACATTATGGCAGCACAAAAATGAACAAATATACTGACTAATCAGTGGCATATTCTAAATGCGAGAGAAAGAAAAAGGGATTGTATTGTCTGTTCTGACAGAAAAGCACTAGGATGAAGGCAGAGAACAACATTTTATTGTTAAGCATTCTTTATAAAATGATCAAAAATAAATTAATATTATAAATGTATGTCCTTCAATAACCAAATTTTCATCGAACAAATTGCATAACATACACAATGAAATCAAGTTTACAGCCGGTACAGTAGATTGTTTTGAAATCGGTGACGTCCCGTAAGTGTTAATAGCTCTATCTTGTATTGTTCAAATATTGCATATATTATCAGAAAATAGGCGGTCTCAGTAACTTTTTTATGTTTATTTTCATATATTTTAAAAATGTTGATTTCAAAATAATTTAATATAATGATAAAAATATTATATTTATTAGTTCGTAAAGAATGGCGAGGTCTTAAACATAAGATGACAATGTGCCTCTGTATTAAGACGACATTGTTTCCTTTCTGTTTATTGTTTATTTGTTGACTTTGTATGCGCGGACATTAGTCATACACATTGTATAAGTTATCCTTACAATTTTATTTTATTTGATTGTATATAATTATATAGCGCACCATATATCCGACATTGTAAATAGTGGAGATATTGAAGTTTTTTTTACATCTAACTATTTGTTAGATTTTTTTAATTGTCTGTCCCTATTACGTTGAGGAATAATAAGCATATTTGTTAAACTGCCATTGGGCATAATATCGAAAAATACTCTAGGGACTTTCAAGTCGTTCGAGGCGTTGAAGAATATGAAAACGGCTCGCATCATTATTAATATCTTAAAATAACCAAATATAGGTAAATTGTTAACAGCATGACAAGCAACCATGCAATGGTTTCCAAAACAATGTAGATGATTATTAAAAGACTTACCGAGTACCGATCACAAAGCACCGACCACCGACTGCCTCAGCGATGTCAACTCCTCCAAACGTTTTTAGCATCATTTCAGTTCAGATAGTCTTTGTAACTAATTATTGTAACTGTAAAGTTCACACTGCATTTAAAACATAAACACAATTCACTATCATTACTAGTAACTTTTTGTTCAAATTTACAGATATACATGGCCGTATCTGGCGCTCCCGAACTCACAAAAGACCACACGATGCACGCGGCGAATTTGGCACTGAACATGATACGGCAGGTGGACCATCTTGAACTACCATCGAAAGCAAAAATACAGATCAAAATCGGTAATACATAAATATTATTTATCTAATTCAATGTTTTTCGACACAAATCAACTTGCGTTATGAAAATATAACGAAAGATCACACCATGTACGCGACGAATTTAGCACTGCACACTACACGACAGGTCAGGTAGACCATCTTGAACTACCATCAAAAGCAACATTACAGATCAAAAGCGGTAGTATATAAAATATTATTTGTCAAATTCGATGTTTACTGACACAAATCAACTTGCATCATATCAAAAGATCACACCATGTACGCGACGAATTTAGCACTGAACACGATACGACAGGTCAGGTGGACCATCTTGAACTACCATTGAAAGCAAAAATATAGATCAAAATAGGTGATAGATAGGATATTATTTATAAATTGAATGTGTATTGATTTAAAAAATTAATTGAACATGATACGTCTGGTCGACAATATTCAACTACCATCGAAAGCAAACATGCATGGAAAATTTTGACAAAAACTAGTGATTAAAGCATCGTGTCTTAAGGCAAATTCATCGAACTTCCCGCACCAAAAATTAAAAGTTTTAAAAAAGATTTTATTTTTTTTCAACTGTGTAAATATTAGATTTTCTAGAATTTAGAAATTTTTGAAAGATTTGAAATTTTTCCATACTTTGAAAATTTTGCACATTTTTAAAAAAAATCGATCTGCGTAGGTGTTTTAGAGATGACATATCGAAGCGCGTAAGCGCCGCGTTGCATTCGAACGGAACTTATAGAAATGTAAACAAAGTTTATATTATACTTATTATTAAAATCTTTATAAAATAACTGATAATTTGATGTGCATATATCTGGATCATTTTTGATCGCCAAATAATTTGTTTTTACTTTTTTTATTAGTTCTCCAAAACCACTGGACCTGCCTTTATAAAATTTTAATCGGTTCTTTAATTGGAAAAAAACTCAAGTTTTCAAAAAATTTCGAATTATAAAAAAAAATCAAATATTTCAAAAAGTCAAATTTTTCCAAAAAGTTCAAAATTTTCAAAAATATAATTTTTTCAAAGTTTTCAAAAAAATTTGAAGCTTTTATAAAAATTTTAATTTTCGGAATGGGAAGTTCGACCAATTTGTCTTCGCTATGCACCACTAGATTTAGATTTTTTTGCAATATATTATAAAATATAGATTTTTTTTTACATCACCAACTTTCTTCCATCAATAAATTAATTATAATGTAGTATTTTCTCGTTGCATTAATTTATGAAAAAAATACTTTTTTTAAAATAATTATTTTTATATTATGTACAATGTTTATTGATATAAATCAAGTTTTGTAAATTGTTAATAAGTACGGCCCACCATAAAATTGTAAAAATTAAATACTGCCCGTGAATTAAAAATAAAAAAAAAATCTTAGGATAAATCTATGCAGCGATAAGACCAGTATTATAATTTATAATTTCACTATTAACCATTTTGTAAGTATTTTTTACTCTTTGGCATTTTTTTTATTCCAAATACGGCAAAACAACCGAGCAATTCGTAAATTAAGTAATTATAACGACAGTGGAATCAACTCCTGTGTCTTTTGAAATTGATTACACCTTTAACATGCAAAAAATAAATTTATATTTTATTGTAAATGTATGCTTTTCAATCCACAAATTCATATAAAACAAATTGCACAACTTGCACAATAGTATCAAGTTTACAGCAGGTACGTTTTCGTCAGAATGCGGCGCCGAGTTGCTGGTAGATTATTTTTTGAATCGATTCAGGGCGCACTGTTATGCAAACCATTTTATATATCTGGTTCAAATTATCCGCTTTTTTATAATTCTGGTATTCTTTCTTATGACACTACATGTTTTCTGCAAATTCTAATTAGAATACCAAATGTTTCTTTCAAATTAGGATTACATACCGGACCCGTAGTTGGCGGTGTTGTAGGAATCAAAGTTCCGAGATACTGTTTTTTTGGAGATACTGTAAATACAGCCTCAAGAATGCAAAGTACAGGCACTTGTGGTAAAATACACATATCAAAGGCTGTCAATGATAATCTTAAAGGCTACTCGTTTAAACTATTACCGCGAGGAAAAGTCAATCTGAAGGTAAATGAAATGATTGATTATTATCATTGGCTATTAATTTACCTATTTTTAATTAACAGGGCAAAGGCGAAATGGAAACGTTTTGGTTAGAGGGCGAGCCAAAGCAGCAATTTAATTATTCACAAGAATCGTCTCTTAAATAGAATCTTACTTATGCATGATTTATATTTACAACAAAATTAACCTTTATATCTCAAATATACTATAAGAACTTAATGCCATTGTATATTGATTATAAAATATATCTTTCATATAAATAAAAGTGTGTAATTCATTCTTTAAATTATATCTGAACATAAAAAGTTTTCGTCATTATTTTAAATTCTTAAAATAAACATTTCCAGCTTCCGATTTTGAATCATCATCTTGCTCTAAAAAATTTTTCAACTTAGGCGTACTTTGGGATACTTTCTGCCAATCAGAAGAGTTTTGTTTATTTTCAGATGCATGCAACAAAAACTAAAAAGTAAAGTTAGTTATATAATTTTACAAATTGATTAATTGAATAATATAAAAAATAATTTGAAAAAAACTCACTTGTTTTAAATACGCCTCCAAATCATTTTCATTTGGAACATTGCGACTAGAAACAGGTGTTGAAATAACCATCAAAGAATTTTTCTTCAATATTGGTTTTATACTAATAACATAAAAATAGTACAGTTTAATATATAATTGAATTCTATATTAAGTATAAGATCATATTTATTTTTTATTTAATTTTTTTTTTTTTCTTTGCTTTCAAAATTGATGTGGTGCATATATGCATAATAAATTATATGGGTACAAATGGCTGAAATTTACCTGGAATCATTCTCCAACTTATCAATATCTTTTTCTGGATAATTTATAGTTTTCAGATCATCTGCATCAAAATTACTTCGTGCAGACATTATACCATTCAAATCATTATCTGAATTTTTATCTAAAACTGAAATTAAGGAAACAAATCATATATTAATATGAAACCATTTTTTGAAATATTTTATATACCTGTTGGACTGGAAATAATTTGTAAAGCAGCTTGCCATTGGTTTTCCATAACTTTATGTAATTGTTCTGCTATTTTACCTCGTTTGGCATAGTAATTTGATAGTTTTTCCTAAACATTTTTATAACAATTAAAGTTGTAAATAAAAAAACTGAAATAAAATATGTATTTTGCCCCAAAAAATGTATATATATATATATATATATATATATATATATATATATACCTTTAAAATCGAATTGTGTTGACTAGTACTCTTCAACTGCAATTTGCACAGCCCCATTTCCTCTTTATGTTTTTCTTTAAGTAAATTAACTTCCAACTCACTTCTAGTAAAATATGAAAAAATATTATTTATTTTTATAAAACAAAGTAATATTAATCTAAAATCTGAAAAACAAACTGTTGTATGAGACTCTGTATCTGTTTCATTAATTTTTCCATAAGTGTCTGCTCCCGTTTTTGAATCTCTGCTTCCATGCATTTTTCAGCAAATTCTAGTTGAGTCTACATTACGAGATAAGAATAAATTAATTTATATAAATATTTATATATATATTTGTTAATACCTGAAATTCTTGCATTTTTTCTTTCACAACAGTTTCAACTTGATTTTGATAAAATTCCTTTAGTTCCTTTTTTTGAGTTTCTAATTGCTTCTTAATAATTTTTACTTCTGAAGACAATTTACCCTAAATTTGGGAGTATATCTTATATTAATTCAACAATAAAATAAGTGTCATCCAATAACCATTTAAATTTACCTCACGAAGTTTAGATTCATCGAGTGCAGAATTTAAATTTCTTTTCAATATTTCCAATCTATTATTTTTCTCTTGTTCTTGGGATAGTTTATTTTTAAGATTCTTTTTTTCTTCTATCAAAATATGATTTTCAGATTCCAAATTGGCACATTTAACCACAAGGGTTTTACATTTTGTTTCTTCAGATACAAAATTTTTATGTTCCTTTATAAAAAAAAAAAAACAAATCAAATTTCATGAACAAAAACATCAAACAATTAATTACAATTTGTGTAATTAATTGATATAAAAAATCACTTACATTTTCTATTTCGTTCCTTAATGTATCCACTGTTCGAGAGAGCTCTTCATTTTGTTGATTTAATTCATTTTTTTCCTTCAGCAATCCATTGTAAAGTAGTTCAGTATTCTGCAGTGACATTGATATGTATCTTCTTGATGTTTCCATTTCCTAGTATTACAAAATTACAAGATTAATTAATTATAACACTATATAAAATATAATAAAATAATTTCTTTATATAACGCACATCTTCAAATCCTGTTCAGCTTTTTCAAATATTAATAATTTTTCTTTGAGAGATTTAACTAATTCATATGAACTTGTTATTTCTTCTTTGTGGGTTGCACAAGACTAAAAAAATAGTCCAATTATAAATTACAAAGATAAAGTAAGTGGTAATTTGTTTCATGAGCTATAACAAAATACCTTTACATAAATTTGCTTTTCATTTTCTAACAGCTGCCTTTCTTTCTGCATATTGTTCATTAGAGCATTCAACTGGATATCTCTGTTTTCATAATTATTTGCTAATCTGTAAAAAAATACTTTATCAACCAATCTTTTAAGAGAAATTTAATACTGGTTATGGTACTGATGAAGACAGTAATGATTACTGGTTGGTTAAGAACTGTTGGGGTGAGAGCTGGGGAGATAAGGAATACGGAGTTGCTATCCAGGCTAGCTATCCCTCTCGTTTAAACATAAGTTTATTTTTCTCTAATAAATGAATTTTATATGAACTATTTGATGGTTGGAGGAATGATTGCTAGTGAACAAATGAGGTTCATATAACTTACAAGCCTTGCCAAGTTTGTAATAATCTAAATAACCTACCATGATATTATTTTTAATTTTAAGGACTTATAATTTAATCATTTATATGTTGTTTGTGACAGCTAAATATTTCATGCTTTGAATGTTTTTTTATTCATACAAGATGTTTGATAAATTATAGTATGTAGTGTATAGATTTTTCCTAATTCTTAAGTCTTGTGATTACTTAAAGTTTCATCTACTAAGATTTACCTTTGCCAAGCAAGTTTTAATTGATTTATAGCATTGTCTTTAGCTTTATCTACTTTTATTGCAACTGCTAATTTTTCTTGAGATTCCAATAACTTTGTTTGTAAAAGTTGGATTTCCTGTTCACAGTGCTGAAATAAATAAAATTTTCAATTCAAAAATAGTTGATAAAATAAATCATTTATTTACCTCTCGGCGTAGCTTTTCACTTTCTTGTTCCATGTTTGAATCTTTATATTCAAAATTCCATAATTTTTCTAAACTTAATTTGCTATAATTTGCTTTACTAGTATCATATTCTTTAGATCTTAAATTTTTACTTAACGTAATTTCACCATTATATAATTCTTGCACACTTTGTTTTTGATCAGTACATTCTGATGAATACGTGGCTCTGTTGGAATCAGGTAACTGAAGTTCAGGTACAAAACTAAAGCAGTATCCACTGTTTTTTGCACAATCGTCTGTAGAATGTATATCCTTATTTTCATTTGAGTTTCACTGAATTTCATATCAATTATATTTGATTTTTGGTTTAAATACTCATTACTGTTTGTTTGTAATGGAATACAAGATTTTTCATTACTGGAGAAAAAAGGATTCACCCGCTAGAATTTTTACTTTCTTTTGAATCATGATTATCATTGCCTAAAGCCCTTGAATATGAAGAGGTAGTCTTAACAAACTTTTGCTTTTCAAACCCTGCTACAGTTTTTGTTAGAAAATTATCTATTTCAAGCAATAGACGATCATCTGCATAATTCGCATGGGGAAAATTTGAAATACTGCTTATATCAGAGAACATGCTGGGAATTTCAGAATATAAGCTCTGATTTGGCAGAGGCATTTTACTACCATCTTGACATCGAACATTTGTGTTTCTAACATCATTGCTTGCCATGTTAGGGCATGAAGTGTAATCAACTGCAGATCTAAATTTATGAGTATATTGTAGACTATAATTATTTTGCGATTCCCCACAAAGCTGAGCATTCAATTGCGATAATTTATGGCGCAAATCGTCAACATGATTGATCATAACATCAACAACACATGGTGGTTTCTCACAAAGTGTTATTCCAGAATCAGAATCAAAGTTAACTAAGAAGGTATCCGGAGATATTACTAAAAGGGCGTCTGTATCATCAGTATCACTCATTCCCAGATGAATTGGGATAATCAATTCAGCATTAATTTGA